GCCATCCGCAGGCCCACCTTCCACTAGACCAGGTTACTCAGAGCCCCATCCCATCTGACCTTAAATATTTCCAGGGAGGGGGTTTCTACCACCTCTCTGGGCAACCTGGGCCAGTGTCTCACTACCAGGGTGCATGAAGGAAGGGAAGAGCTCAATAGCAGCAAAAGGAGTGAAAGAAAGACACGGTGAAAGGTACAGGGTGAGAAAAGAATGGAGAAGGAGGGAACAGAAAAAGGGGATGAAAGGAGAGAGGAGAAGTTGAACAGAAGATGCAGATGGGGACAGAGAGGATGTGCAGGATGAATAAGAGACAAGAAGCAGCACAGAAAAGGAGAAATGGAGAGCAGGGTGTGTGTGCTTGGGGGTCTCTGCAGGCTGTGAGTGACCCATTCCTGCTCCTCTCCTCTGCTCCCCCTGCCAGCCCCAGCCAGGGGACAGCATCCCAGAATTGCCTCAACTGGAAAAGCCCTTTAAGCTCATCGAGTCCAACCATGAACCCAACACTGACCAGCTCCCGACTAACCCATGTCCCTCAGCACTGTGTCTACACCACTCTTCAATCCCTCCAGGGATGGGGACTCCACCACTGCCCTGGGCAACCCCTTCCAATGCCTCAGAACCCTTGCAGCAAAGAAATTCTCCCTCACATCCCATCTCAACTGCCCTGGCCACAACTGGAGCCCATTTCCTGATGTTAGGGACTGGAAGGGACCTCAAAAGATCATCTAATCATCATCTGATGCTCTGTGTGTGTGTGTGTGTGTGTGTGTGTGTGCTGTGGGTATTTATCAGCCAACATCCCCATGGTGGGTGTCTCTTCACCCACCCCTCCAAGTGCACAGTCTGCATTCATATCTGTTTTCTTTGGCATCCTCCAGTATTTCCCCCAGAACTAATGGGCAATAAGGTAGTTTCTCTTCAGACACCCCCCTCTGCCACAGCTCTGCATGAAGAGGATTATCACTCTAATACTTGTGAGCCTCACGCTGTCCCACTGTCTCTTTCAGGCTGTTCTCCCCTGGGGCTAGAGTCACAAAACCCACAAAGTGCACAGATTTGCAATTAGATCTGCTCTGTAATTATTATTTTGTTTTGTTTTGTTTTCTGCCCTGAAAAATACGATAAGAGAAACTGTTAGGTTCTGTAGAAATTGTCCAAGTAGCTTTAAGAAAGCTCTGTGCTCCCCTGGGCACAAAATCTTCAAGCTTTGGGAAGAAATATTTAGATGAACCTCCTCCAGAAGTTTTCAGAAGAAAGTAGCTATTTCTTGTAAAAATAAATAGCTTCATAAAAAGCAAAGAATTTCCCTTGAAAACGAATTTCTTTCAGTAGAAATTTTTCAGGTAGTTTCAGCTCAGCATGCCCTCTGGTGCCAGAGCCAGGTTTCACAGGACCTGCGACCTACCAGCTCCCTGCTGCAAAACCAGAGATCAAGTTTAAAAATAAAAATAATAATTAAAAAAATCTCACATTTGTGGTAATTTTCATCCTTCTTTCTGTAAGAATTCCTACAGAAATTAAAAATAACACTAGAAGCAAGAGTTACACCAAAGGAAGTGAAAAGGGGATTTGCCTGAGGTCGGACTGAAGCCAGCAGAGTTTTTGCAGGAAAAGGGGCTGTCTCATATGGAAAACCAAAACCATCCAGAAACGGGACATGCGAGACGAGCTCCAGCACCAGTTCAGCCAGCACTTGTGTGACAAGTCCCATTTTCCCTACCCTTAAGTGGGCAATAATCCCCCACTCTCAGAAGAACGCTTTCAAAGTGACTAGAAAGACATCAGCTCCAGCCTGATGATATAAATCACTTGGATGAACCTTCAGGTGTGTCCTGTGACTTGACACAGGGCTCTGTTTGCAAGAAGGGAACCATTGCACGGCCAGTGCTTGGTCAAGCATTGGAACAGGCTGCCCAGGGCAGGGGTGGAGTCACCTTCCCTGGAGATGTTCAAAAAAATATGTGGATGTGGCACTTCAGGACACGGTTTAGGGGGCATGATGGTGTTGGGTTGATGGTTGGTGACTTGATGGACTTTATGATCCTGGAGGTCTTTTCCAACCTTAATGGTTCTGTGATTTAAGCAAAAGCAGAAGTGGTTCCATTGAGAAGAGCTGTGCATGCTGGTGACCACTCTGGCACCAGCCATCCCATGCATTCACCAAAATGTCAGATCTCTGAAGATTTCTGGTTTAAGCCACTTGTTATTTGAGACTCCACGTTTGCATTTGTAGCTGCTGGACTAGGTACCCCTCTGTGAGGACCAAATCCGTGGAGAAACTCCATTTTTCCTCCTGCACCACCCACAAGGACTCCCAGTGAAAGCTTGGGCTCCAGCTTTCATCACCCAGTAAGCCTTTGGCCACCTTTGTGGTTCTGTTAAGCCTGGGCTGACTTTGAAACAGGAATCCCAGTTTTTCATTTCTCACTGCAAGTGTTTCCCAGGTCCAGTGATTCCATATCAAAGAGCAATGGCTGTCCCTGCCCATGGCATCACGCCCCAGACTGGGGAACACACCATTGCACCCCTCCACATGGGAAAAGCCCACGTGGAAGCTTTTCCTATTTTCATTACCTAGTAACCTTGGACACATTGCAATCCTGCCCCATTTCACACTCCAGAGAGTGTGGGGGGAAGTTCAAAAAGATGATGTTGTTATCATTCAAACAACAGCTCCCAGCTTGATTTATTTGTCTCCACAGAAGCAGCTTGGAACAGATTCCTCAGCCTCCTTGTACCAGTCACTCATTGAGCAAAAGCTGCGTCGTGTTTACACAGCCTCCTTGTTCTCACACCCTGAACTCATCATTACGCACCGAGGAACTATCAATGCCCAGCCTTGTGGTGCTGCAGGGAGGAGGGCTGACTCTTCAGGAATAAGGAAGAAAAACACATGAAAGGGGGTCAAATCCCAAACCTTGAACCACTTGGTACGGGGAGTGCTCGGCTGCAACAGGACCATGTGCTTTAAAACCAGCTGAGAAGGGGCAGGACTTAAATCGAGGGGTTTGAGATGTATTCCTGGGGTCAGAGCTTTTGCTGGTCTCCTTTCCCCAAGATACCTCTATTCTGCCCCTGAGACCAGACAGCACCCTTTAAGGTCCTGAACCCCACCACACTGCCTTAGAGTCCGCACCAGCCATCTAGACTTCTTTTACCTCCTTCTAGTATCTTCTAACTTCTACCATCTTCTAACTTCTACCTTCCACAGCAAGAAATACAAGCTTTGCAGAGGAGCCTCTTAACTGCAGTAGCTTTACTGTTAGAAACCATGAGAACTACATGCTTTAAGTAATCAAAAATTTAAAAAACACCCCCAAAAATAAAAAAAATATAAAAAAACCCCCAAAGCACTTTCCTACCCCGAGCCAGCACCTTCTCAGGTATCACAGTTCACCCACAGCTCAAACTGGACACAGTCCTTCCTGACTACAGATCTTTCTTGCATGAGGGTGATGGCTGGCACAGGTAACAACCCCCTGCTGAAATTCAGCCCCAATTTCAGTGTTGGACACAACAATGATCCCTGAGAATCACTGGCTTTGCCAACACTCCCACCCTGGCACAGAGAAAACCTCCCTTGCCTGGGGAAGGTACAAAGAGACCAGAGACAACAGCATGAAGCACTGGACATAACCCATCTCCAGGGTCATAGCATGGAGGAAACACCACATTTTGAACTTTATCTGGTACAAAAGAACCAAAGCAGGACTTACCAGTTGATGTAGGCACAGTCCTGCGTCCAGCATACACCTGGAGAAATCCCTTCCACCACACTGAGCAAAAGAAGCCACCTCAGACCCCCGGCTGGCCCTCATCTCCAGATTTAAAGGGTTATCCATCAGACAGCGCTGAGGGCAAGGCTGCCAATCTTCATTACAGCTCTCAGGGGGCTCCTTACCCAGAACCAGAGCCCGTCTGCTACATGGAAGTGGGGTTTTTTCTTTCTTTTTAAGAAAGAAGATCATAGCTTTGCTGCATATATATCCAAATCTTTTAATTGTTGCTTTGCTGATGCTTTTTACCAGCTGCTGACACTCTGGGTGGATAGGAAACTATCATCCCCTTTACTATCGTGGGTTTTTTCATCATTTGGGTCAAGACAGCTAACAGGAGAACTCACTTAACAAGATGGAGAGAGAAAAGGTGGATGGCTACAAGCAGCCAAATGACCTACAGCTTGTAATTAGGGCAACCAGGTGGTTTAGACCTTGTAAATACCTGTTTCTTTCCACTGACAGGGGAAAAAAACCCCATGTCCCTGAATGATTAGCTGAAGTTAGGTGTGGTGGATCCCATCCCATGTCTCGATGCATTTTGGAGAAGCAGTGCCCCTGGTTTCAGAAGTAAAAATGCAGCTTGTCCCATCTGCTCTAGCATCTTGTCTAAGACAGTAGCCAGCAAAAAGTGTTCAGAGGAGATGTAAAGCCCAGCCACTGACAGTCCTTTGAACATCCAACCCAAAGAGAAGATCTCTCTCTAATCCCCTGTGTGTTCCAGGCTTGTCTGTACCCTGAAGGAAGAGAATTTAATATTCTTACAAAACCCCTGGCCCTGGGTAATCTACAATATTGTCACTCTGCTCAAGCTTGTTTTCCACAAAAACACTCAGTATTTTTCTAGCCTTGCTGAACTCTTGGTCACCACGAGTATCTTGTGTCTATTAATATCAGGAGGTGACTGTGAGGGGAAGCTGGGCACTCTCGACATGTTTAAAACATGAAACTTTGCCTCTTTTCCAGGCTTTCCAGATAAACCTGGTGGGGAGACAGCAGCCCATTTGACACAGACCATAGAATTGGTTGGTTGGAAAAGACCTTTGAGATCATCAAGTCCAGCCGCTGGGTCTGTTGACTTAGCAATGCCACTAGTTCATGCTGTTTCTCCTGTCTCCTCAGGGTATGAATCCTCATCTCCGGATTAACGGGCCGATGAACATCAACCACTACGCGACGAAGAAGAGCGTAGCGGAGAGCATGCTGGACGTGGCGCTGTTCATGGCCAACGTCACGCAACTCAAAGCCGTGCTGGAGCAGGGACCTTCCTTCCAGTACTACACCACCCTCATCGTGCTCATCAGCATCTCCCTCTTCTTCCAGGTGGTGATTGGGATTCTCCTCATCATCACTGGTAAGGTGGCCACCGAGGTGTGCGCATCCTCGCAGGGTGCTGCTGTGGTTTGGCTTGGCCAGCACGGAGGTATGAGGGAGAAGACTCTTCTGAACTGTTCTGGTGCTCCAGCCAGCACTGCAGGAGGGCTGAAGGCAGCTTGATGAGGGCGGTGGGGTCTGTGCTACTGCTTTTCAAAGTGGGGAGGAGGTTGATTTTCTCTCTTGCACGACAGCTCTGGACGCTGCTCTTCCTTCACATCCCCACTGCTGAGTCCTCATCGTAGGGAGAGAGCTGGGTTTGGGGCCTCTTCCTGCCCATCCCGTAACGTGCCCCTTCACGCAGCTCCTGCAGATGCTGTATCTTATCTGCAGCTTCACCTCACTGAAGCTGGGGTCTAACAGAACAATTTATACACAGTTATTCCCTGTATCAGCCTCAAATTCAACCAATCCCACAGTTCTCCCAGTGTCCTACAGACACTACGTTAACACCAGCAGCTCAGACGGGCTTGCCCAGTGCTCCTCTGATCTGACACAGGATCAGCCTCCAACACATGCCCAGTATTGAAGCTCTGCAGAACGTTGCCTTTTCCTGTATATCCTACGTGGGTTTTTCTGTGGGACACGGGATCAGAGGCCACAGGAAATCCTGTAAGGTGTTCCTTCCCCTGCCCCATGTGGCAGAGACTTTCCCGGTGACAGCCGTGGTGGCTGTGAGAAGGGGGACAAAGGACCACAGCTGAGGCCAGGGAGCCACAAAGCTGCCATTCACGTGGCTTATTGGCCAGACAACCCAAGTAACCATGGGGTTCCCATGTCTGAACTGATCAATGCCCATCAGCTGGGCTGATCCTGTTCACGTGCCCAGATACCTCTTGGTCTGGGGGTGAGGAAGGTGCTGGTACCTGTGTCAGCACACGTGTGAGATCTGGGTGTCAGAACTGGCCTCCAAATCTCAGCACAAGGTTGCTGAACTTGTCCCCCATGTCACCCAGCCTTCCCTTGCCATGTCCCACAGCCATACAGTGGGGGGGGGGTCAGATGGCACATGCCTGGCTAGAATGCAGCAGTAATTTGGCGATTTAGGGTTGGCCCATCCGAGGCCCATGGCACCTCCATGGACAAAGAAAGACACGACATCAATAAAAGATGGTTTTCTTCTGCTCTATCCTCCTATGTCATCCTAGGGCAAGTGGTGGGCCCTGCAAGGTTCCTGGGACTATTCCCCCAGCTCTGTGGCCTCAGTGCCCGGGGGCACCATGGACATTCTGCCAGCAGGGAAGGTTTGCAGGGGCTGGGGGACTTGGAGTCAAGCTACAAATCTCCCTTTCTTTTTGCATTGCATTGCACAGCTCGTCTGAACCTGAACGACGTTGCAAAGCAACCCCGCCTGAACGTACTCAACAACACTGCCACAGCCCTCATCTTCATCACGGTCATCCTCAACATCTTCATCACAGCCTTTGGGGTGCAGAAGACTGGCCTCTACCCTACCAGGAATTTTCGACCTTATTAAGTTATGGGGCAACGGAATCAGGTAAGAAAGGGGGTGAGTTCCCATCACTGCCAGGCCCTGGAAGGACTCTCAGTCTCAGAAAACATCATTACAAGGTGGAGAAGGAGAAGGTGGAGGTGCACAAATTAGCAAAGCCTTTCCAGAGGCGTGTTGTTGTCTCACCAGCATCTGTGGCCATTGAATAAACTCCCTCTGAGGACGAGGATCTCTCTCCTTGCTTGGTCTTTAAAGCAAGAACACCAAATATCCCAACTGCTGGGGTTTATCAGCAGCAAGTGGTTTTCAGAAGGGTGCAGACCTCGTGCTGGAGATGGAGAGCAGTTGTGGATGGGAGCTATAAATCTGGGGAAGAAAACGAGGTGTGTTCTGGGAGGTGTCCAAAGATGGCAGCGTTATCTGAGCAGAAGGAAGGTGGTGGTGAGGTGGTGGTGAAAGGCCTCTTCACAACAACCAGTGTGGTCTGGCAGTGGCTGTTTCAAGAATCTGATTTTCATTTTCAAGAGAGAGTTTTGGAAAGAAGAGTCCAATCAAATGCTTGACTTCCTGTGTCAGGCCAATGAGGGAATGACATGTTCTTAGGTCAAAAGCGCTTTAGGTCAAGAAGCAAAGTTCACATCTGTTGCTTACATGACCTGCAACATGCAAACATAGTTTAAATGCATTATACTGGGGCAACAGCCAGCAAGAAAGCTTGATGTCACCACCATGTCACCACCATGCTTTGCCATGGGATGCCTCAAGTCTGAGCCAGCTCTGGCTAGACTCATAACCAGCTACGTCTCTGTGGCACTGTGCCAGGAAATTCAGCTTTCTTTAGAAATGAAGTATATTAACCCCGGAATCGTAGAGTCACAGGATCATTTTGGTTGGAAAAGACCTTTAAGATCATCGTGTCCAACCATAAACCCAACACTGCCAACTCCACCTCTAACCCATGTCCCTGAGCACCTCGTCTGCCTGTCTTTTAAATACCACCTGGGATGGTGACACCTGATATGATGAGGGAGGATGCAAGGGACAAAAGCCTCTGTAAAGCCACTGCTGGCTGGGGACGCAGAAGGGTGCGAGTGCTGAAGAGCAGGGGTGGCCGTGGTGCCGAGTGATGTGGCCCATGGTGAATGCCCCTCTCTGCCTGTGCAGTGTGGAGGAGCAGCCCCCTTACTGGTGTCTCTTGTCTTCCCTGCAGGACCTGAGCAGCACGGCTGGTGGGGAAAACTCTCCTCCTCTACACTTTCCCTGACCTCAGGAGGAACCCATCAACGAATCCAGAGAGTTGGGTTAAACTTTCACAACTGTGTGCACGTCCTGCTCTTCCAGCCCCTCACCATCGTGCTTTTGCAGCTCTGAAGGGGTGAAAATCCCAAGGCCAGGTTGGATGAGGCTTTGAGCAACCTGGTCTAGTGGAAGGTGTCCCTGCTGCTGGCAGGGGGGTTGGAACTGGATGAGCTTTAAGGTCCCTTCCAACCCAAACCAGTCTGGGATTCTAAAACATCACCTTTCAAAGCCAGAGCAGATGTTGCCAGAGGAAGCTGCAGGTGCACAATTTCAAAGCACAGCTCTATAAATCTCATCTCGTATTTTAGGTGCCTGCTTCACATATTCAATATTGGCTCCTTTTGTAGAGAAGACTGAAAGATTTACTTTGTAGGCTGAAGAAAACAAGAAAAGTCCATTTTTTTTTTGTCTCAAGCCTAAGCTGCTCTAGTTAAAGCGACGCCAGGTAACAGTTCACCTCCCAAATGTTGGCATGGATTTCTTAAAATAAAAATAAAATTAAAAAATTAAAATTCTCACGGGAGGACAGAGAAGTGTACGTGTGGCAACAGCTAAAATAAAATGTTCTCCTGGTTGTTTTAAAAAGAAAATTAAATGCAACAGAGTGAAGAAAACAATCAGATATTTCCAGCACTGGAAAAGTAACAGTGACAGAAAATAGCTATTATGGTCTGATGTCATCGCCAGGGACGCACCGGGAGTGATGTCAGAATAGCCTGGCAATAGTTACTAGAAAATGAGGAAACATTTTACGTGAGGAGACACTCGAGGCTTGTTGCCACAGTGAGAAGTGAGAGGTGCACAGTGTATTGCTTAATTAAAACACCACCATTAGAATTTAAGTTCTTATCACCAACATGAATATTTTTCAAATGTATCATTTTTATCTCGACAATGCTGGGAATCCTCTTGTACTAGAACAATTCCTTTCCTTAAAACGAAGCGTTTGAATTCATGGTTCTTTCTGATTTGTTTTTTGTTTTTAATTTTCTAACTCTGTAGTCATGCTAAAAAATCGCTATTTTAACAGCCTGGTGTAAGCTCATTTAAATAACGACACGCTTTTCTGATTATTAAATGATTTTGTCATTGTGCAGCAGAATCAGAATTCAATATGGATTTTTTTATTTTCCTTACTCTTGCCACCACCGAGAAAGAAACGTCACCAAACTGGCCACGTCTTGGTCTTCAACAGCTCCTGGGAGTGTCTGAGACTTAGAAAAAACCCCCAAAACCAGCCAGATGTGGGCAGATTTCATCTGTAGCCTGTATTTGACTTCAACTATCTCTGGTTAAGTCACAGGTGGTGCTTTTTTCTGGAGAAGGTGGGAATGACCTTGCCCAGGACGGCTGGTGGGGGAGGCTACGGGCCACCTCCAAACGACGGTGGCTTCTTTTGCAGCTGAAGGAAAGTTGCACAGAAAGGGTAAGGTGGCAAATGCCAGTTACCTATTTACCAGAATTTAACGTGGCAAAGCTGAGCACAGTCTGGGATCTGTTTGGTGAAGCAGGTGAAGACTTGTCCTCCACTTTGTCCGGGGAACAGCAGGTCTGGAGTGACACTGGGTTTGCTGCTTTTCTTGGTCCTTCTGCTGGGACCGACAGCAAAGAGGGATGAAGGTTTCTGGGAAGCCTCCTGCTCTCCTCTAGAAAAAGGCTTCACTGGAAAGGCAGCAAAACTCCTTCTGCCCAATGCAAACCCACCAGCTAAGGGCTTTTGGCCACTACTGGCCAGCTGGCTTCATGAAAAGGTAAAAAAAATTACATATCCCGTGTGCAGATCCCAAATCCTGGGAGTCACTGCTCCACGGAGCAGCAGGCAAAGCCACTGGCACTGAGGAGTGAATATGGGGGGGGCTGGGGAGAGAAAAAAAAGGTTCAGCTGGGAAAGAAGCAGTGAGGAGAATTTAATTACCAGATTTTAACTCCAACATCACTGTCTCTGGAGTGTTGTGTCCAGTTCTGGGCTCCCCAGTTCCAGAGGGACAGGGATCTTCTGGAGAGAGTCCAGGGGAGGCCACAAAGATGATGAGGGGCTGGAGCATCTCCCGTGTGAGGAGAGGCTGAGAGAGCTGGGACTGTTCAGCCTGGAGAAGAGCAGCCTGAGAGGGGATCTGATCAATGTCTATAAATACCTGAAATGTGGGGGCCAAATGGATGGGGCCGGGCTCTTCTCGGTGGTGCCCAGTGACAGGACAAGGGGCAATGGGCACAAACTGGGACACCAGAAGTTCCAGACAAACTGAAGGAGAAACTTCTTTCCTGTGAGGGTGCCGGAGCCCTGGGACAGGCTGCCCAGAGAGGGTGTGGAGTCTCCATCTCTGGAGATGTTCAAACCCACCTGGACACTTTCCTGTGCAACCTGCTGTAGGGAACCTGCTTTGGCAGGGGGGTTGGACTGGATGATCTCCTGAGGTCCCTTCCAACCCCACCGTGCTGGGACTCTGTGCTCCCAGAGAGCTGCCAGGTGAGCTATGGCAGCATGAGGCCTCCCTGAGCAGAGAGGGCTTCCCGTCACCCAGCCCAGGCGAGCAGAAGACCAGCAGCACACTGGAATGCGTTCCCCCCCCGTCACCTTTAATAATAATTTCCCTCTCTAATGGCACCAGACTCCTGAGCAGCCTTGGCCGCCTTTTTCCCTCTCCATGTCTGACTCTCACTGCTGCCAAATTGTTTATACTCAAAGGAGATAAAGTTGAACCAAAAAGGGGCCAAATTTGGATTGAAATAAGCAGTTGCCACGGAAGAGCTGACCTCCCGCTGGTGTAGGCTGTGCCAAGTCCTGAGCTCAGGTCCAGACCTGTGGTCTCCTCCAGGAACCGTCCCCTGCTTGCAGGAGGGACCACTTTGTTCCCCGCATTCTCTCTCTCTACGGTCACGTTGCACTTGTGTTTTGCTGGGACATGTGTACGTCCAACATTTCTACCTTGTTTCAAGTGATAAACCCAGGAAAACAGGACAAAAACTGTTGTGTTGCCATCCCAGGACCAAAGCAGGTCTCACTCCTGGCTCACCTTGCTCGCTGCATCTCCCACCCACCTCCTGCTGCAGAGCTTGGGCCAAGTGACCCGTGTCTCTGGTATTGCCGACACCTCTGGTTTGAAGCCAGAGGAGCAACACCTGGTTTCTCCTCCCTGTCTCCTGGTGGTGTGGGTGTGAATGACACACGGACAGAACCGAGCTCTTGTAGGAAGACACTATATTTAGAAAACGTGAGGGAGGACCAGTCTGTCCCCAGCTCTAACACAGAGGTGGCCCAGGAGTTGTTTTGAAGGCACAGAGCCGCTTTAAGGCAGATCATTCAAAGGTACAATTCAGATTGATTGATTTTTTTTAACACAAGGCATCGGTATCTAAAAACCAACCAACTCCAGACACCTGCAGGCAACGAGGAAAGGTGAGATGTTCATACCATGAAAGACGACGACAGAACAAGTCACAGGAGAAGTTTCACATGATACATAAAAGCCAACCCTCCACTGACCTGTGCAACAAGCCCCAGCCCCACACCCACAGTCCCTGGCATTTGTGGGCAGAGCTCCCTCCCCATGTCCCCTGCACTTGGGTGCCCAGCCTGGCCGCATCCTGCCCCAGGGAAAGTCTCTTCTGCAGCATGGCCCATCATCTCCCCAGCTCCCAGGATGGCCATGTTCTTCCACTGCATGGCTGTGAGACTTACCTGCTCCTGCTGAGCAGGGACTGTGGTGGCCTGGCCATCACCCTGGATGGCCACGTCACCTGCTCCTG